TGTGAGGGTGCTATATGGTCCTTCTCCTGATTTAGATCCATATCTTTCAGATTTCCCTACCAAATGCAAAATTTGAGCAAAGTTAACTAGCAAGTTCAAAGATATTTTGGGTTGGACAAAAAGAGATGCAGAAAATACAAAGCCCAAACATATGGATTATCTTTGTTTGGAGTTGTGTGAGTTGTTCTGAGAATGGTTTGAGGAAAGTCTGTCTCCCAGTTTTGCCTGTGTTAATATTTGCAGAAATAATTTCAATAAAGCCACTCGGGAATTGAAAGGATAAGGTGAAATAAGTTTAGTACCTTCAGTTTAGTGTAAGAGCTATTGGTTTCAATTAACATGACTATATTGCGTGTTGGTAATTTTCTTTTGAAATGCTACACCTTGACTACTTGACATTGAGAACAAAATGAAAAAAAGTATAATAAGGTTTAAAGTACTTTTAAAACAAAATATCTTTAGTTGACAGTGTGAATACAAGAAGGGAGAAGTTCACAGAGGGTACTGACTGATCACATTACTTTGCAACAAGTACAATTTTTTTTGTGCTACATGGACTATATCATATAATAGGGACTCAAACATCATATTGCTTAAAAATATAGCTTAGGAGAACCTACAACTCTTGTAAATTACTGTAGAAGTTTTGTACCACTTCTGCTTTTTGAAACAGAGTATACTCACTGAATTAAGGAATGATATTCTGATGATGTATGTCTTCAAAATTAGACATAGCACCCACAGGTGATTGGGTTCTTTATTAGAATCATAGAATCATTAAGGTTGGAAAAGACCTGTAAAACTGAGTCCAACCTTTGACCAACCACAACCACACTAACTAAACTATAGCGCTAAGTGCAAGGTCCAGTTGTTTCTTGAACGTTTCCAGGAATGGGAATTCCACCACCTTCGTGGGAAGCTCATTCCAATGCTTAACCACCCTTTCACTGAAGAAAATCTTCCTAATGTCCAACCTGAACCTCCCCTGGCACAGCTTGAGGCCATTTGCTCTTGTACTGTTGCTAGTTGCTTGGGAGATGAGACCAGCCTCCACCTGGCTACAACCTCTTTTCAGGTAGTTGTACAGAATGATAAGGTCTCCCCTGAGCCTTCTTTTCTCCAGGCTAAACAGGCCCAGCTCCTTCAGCTGCTCCTCATAGGACTTACACTCTACACCCCTTCACCAGCTCTTTTGCCTTTCTCTGAACACGCTCCAGCACCTCAATGTCTTTCTTGTCGTGAGAGGCCCAGAACTGAACACTGTACTCAAGGTGTGGTCTCACCAGTGCTGAGTGCAGAGGGGCAGTCACTTCCCTGGTCCTGCTGGCCAAACTCTTACTGATCCAGGCCAGGATGCCATTGGCCTTCCTGGCTACCTGGGCACACTGCTGGCTCATGTTCAGCCAGCTGTCAGCTGACACCCGCCGGTGCTTTTCCTTCAGGCAACTTTCCAGCTGCTCTTCCCCCAGCCTGTTGCTCTGCATGGGGTTGTTGTGAGTTAAGTGCAGGACCTGGCACTTCACCTTATTGAATCTTGCACAGTTGGTCTCAGCATATCGATCCAGCCTGTCCAGATTCCTCTGCAGAGCATTCCTATCAACACCCACACCCAGCTCAGTGTTGTCTGTGAACTGACTGAGGGTGCATTACATCCCCTTGTCCAGATCATCAGTAAAGATATTAAAAAGGGCTGACTCCAATACCAAGCCCTGGGGAGCACTGCTAGTGACCAGCTGCCATCTGGGTGTATCACCATTCACCACCACTGTCTAGACCCAGCCATCCAGCCAGTTTTTAACCCAGTGAAGAGTGCACCTGTCCAGGCCATGAGCTGCCAGCTTCTCCAGGAGAATGCTGTGGGAGACAGCATTGAAGGCTTTACTGAAGTCCAGGTAGACTATATCCACAGACCTTCCCTCTGACTGGAGGTCCTATTGGCCTTTAAAAGTGTTACTTCTTTGCTGATCCAAAGAGTATGTGCCAGTACAACATAGTGTCTTTAGTAAATATCCTCCCCTTTCACACTGAGAACAAATTGTAGCCTGGAGGATTTCACAGAAGCTAATGTTATGTGTACACTTATTACCCATAGTTATTGTGATGTTATTCACAAGCTCTGTTACACTCGCCAACAGTGTTACAATAGTTGTTTCTAAATGCTTTATTCTCAGCCAGACTGTCATGTTATCTAAGCCCTTTGGTCCACAGTCAGAGTATGGTCCCGTCTGTGTGCAATAAGATACCTGTTCAGCAGTAGCAAGCAAATTCCTTCATGTAGTTTAGGATATTGGCCCCTCTTCCTCCTGTCTTATCACAAATTCTCAGACATCGGGCTAGATTCAGTTTGGGCTGAATCCTTCACTGAGGCAGATTATGATCTCTTCATCTCCCCAAAATGTTAGTCTTCCCTGGGTCTTTCCTCCTCACAGTAAAGTTATATCACCATCTCTCCCCAGCCATTCTGGTCTATAGCAAAGGTGTCTGACTTGGCTCTACTTCACAGATCCTTTTATATTCACTTCTAAAATCTCTATTGTTTTTCCTGTCATAATAGGAAAAATGTTGGATTTTATAGCTCTCTATCCATACAAGTACATTTCTTTTATCCACTAAGAATTTGGAAGAAATCCAGTCTATGAAAAGTCTTATTCTAACTTCAACTTCTGTAATTTTTCCCTTCTGTCTGTTAATTTGCTGCTTTGACCCTGTATCTCTTACTTACTTCCTTCAAGCTGTTTCTCCTTTTTTCATTATCAATGGCAAGCTTCTTGGGTTTGTCTCCAAAGGTACTATTAACACTGCCTATGTTGTTGTAACACATGCTGAGTTTGCCCTCTTGTTCCAGCTTCTCCTCATTATTTCCATGGTATCTGTTACACTGTTCATGGCTGCAGGAGAGATGCTCCTTGATAAACACCCGGCAGACTCTCTTCCTCTTCCTATCATGCTAAAATTCTTTGCAGCTTCAAACCATGTCGCTCATTTTTCTTTTCCCTACTGTGTTCTTCCCTAACCTTTACTGCAGTGCACCTACAGCTTGCAAAACAGTGCCACAATTCCCTACAACCTAGTCTTCATTTGTTCGGTTCTGGGCTTGTTCCAAGTACTGTAAACCCCCTGCATTATTTGTAGAAAACTCCTGAGCGTACCTGCATCTATGTTCTGCTCAACTGTGTTGTGGGGATAGAGAAAGATAAGAAGAACGTGCCTCAGTCAAGACTCTTTGTTAATATAGACCAGGGATGTCTACTAAGCCTAAGCTATTGGAGAATAAATAAGGTATATTGCGCAGTGCCTGAAAATATGGGTCATTTGCCTAATCAACTTCATGTTGAGTAACAAACTGAGGACAGATGTGTGGTATAACTTGTTTTCAGTGGACTTAATCTGGATTTTCACTAGCATTGTGCTAGACTCACACCAGAACCTAGAATTGGAAAGAATGAGCAAATTCAATAACAATAAAGTTTCTGAGCATTAATCAGCCTAAGATGAAACCAGACTGGTATCTGTTCATACAAAAATGACTTGTATTTTCGGTAAGATTAAATTTATTCACGTCTATGTAATACGTTTGCCATACAAAGAATGTGTCCTCCATAAAATGGTTTTAAGAAGGAAAACACAATTGAGCAATCATTTTTATTTGTTTTTTAATAGTGAGAACTTTAAATGAGCATAATTTCATACCTATAGAGAACGAAAGTATTTAGATAGTATTCTTTCTGCACCACTAATCACTTGAATTCCTGCTTCTTTTTTTAATGAAGATGTCTGGAGGGAAACACATTACTTGATGAACAAATGTTCTGTATTATGAAACTGTAATTGCAGCACCTGTCAATAAAGCCTGTCCCTATTGTTCTTTTCAGCACAGTAAGTCAGCAGAAAGCTGCCTCTCTCTAATTGTGACTTTGATTTTGCATGGCAATTAGGAATCTATTGCATATATGTTAGTTAAATATGAACATCAAACCTAGATATAAATAGAATTTTCACTGAGCAGTGCAGTATGTACAGCTACAGTATGTATGCCTACATACCTGCAGTACGCATACATAGCTACATATTTTGGTTTCATTCATTAACAAAATCTAAGACACCTCTTCTTCCATGATCTTCTCTAAAGCAACTTTCTTTGAATGTTGGAAGGCCAAACAATAGTCAGCATTTACTGACCAGGTTGCACGTTTGAAACATGCTGTTTCAAATACTTTGCTTTCACATTGCATCTTTGCTGTAAATATGTACTTTACACTCTGCAGCATTTGATATTTATTTTTAAACGGATCTCACTCTCCTGAGTGAAGGGGTTATAAAAAATTATCCACTGTTGTTATCTGGCAAATAATCTGCCACTATGACTGTAAGAAGTGTGAACGGAAATCGTTAGCATGTTGTCTTAAGCCAAATGATGAGGATTTTATTAACTACTTCATTAGCAGATGAGATAGAGTAGATTGCAGAGATGATAGACAGACAGTGGAAGCTCCTGTAGGAAAAGAGACAGAGATGCTAAAAGAAAGGCAGAGAGGTGCAAAGAGCTGTAGACAAGGGCATATAGGGATAGAACAAGGAGGAGTGGCTTTAAACTGAAAGAAGGGAGGTTTAGATTAGACGCTGTGAGAGTGGTGAGGCACTGGAACAGGTTGCCAGGAGAAGCTGTGGATGCCTCACCCCAGAAGTGTCAAGGCCAGGTTGGATGGGGCTCTGAGCAACCTGGTGTAGTGGAAGATGCCCCTGTCCATGGCAAAGGACTTGAAACTAGATGATCTTAAAGGTCCCTTCCAACCCATACCATTCTATGAAAAGTGTAGGAAAATGGAAACAAGTAGAGAGAAATGGGAGGTAAAAATGATATCCAAAAGGAGAGTATGTTTTTCCCCATCATATGCCTCAGAGTAAAAAAGAAGACACTGTCAATGGAAAATGGTAATTTTTACTTTATTAACTTACTTTATCTTTGATGTATGTGTAAAATATAGTATCTATGCTTGTCTCCTTATAATTTTGAGAACAGTCACAATAAAGAAAATTTCCAAGAACAGTAGCTCTCATTTCAAAGCACTCGACTGCAGAGATAGGACATCTCTCTTATGTTCTGCTGTTGCAGAACATAATCACTATTACATCCTTTTTTCATCTCCTCATCTATATTTTTAAAGTATATTTGGGTTATGCAATGTTAACAATGCTATATTAAATATTCAGACCTCTCTATGTCAAAAGGAGTCTTACATTCCCTAGTTTAAGATTTTGTTACAACTGGGTATATAGCACTTAGTTTTATGTGGATTTAAAGACACAAGTCTAGATTCCCGGCTCTCCACCTTTTCTAAGAGCATGACAGCATTTCAGCAATCACACACACACTAAATCAGGTAAACTTTTTGTGCCATTTTAATTGCAATGAAGGGCTCTTTTAGTTCTATACATTCCTTTCCAAGATTATCATTTGATGTTCTCCATAATCATCAAAACTCTTACTTCTGTTTAAACCAAGGTAAGACATGCAGGTAGGTGTGTTGTTGCCCCTGAAAGTTTTCACTGTGCTTAAGGAGGTGAGTAGAATAGGACTCAGGGAGTTTTCAAGGGACAGTCCTTTTCCAACCACCTTTGCTCAGGAGGGTCAGAGCCCCTCTCATCATCTGCTTCTTGCACCTGCGCAGAGCAGGTGTGCAGAGTCTGTTCATTCCTTTCAGGATCATTTCAGCAGCGTGTGGTTGGTTTTGGATCATAGTCTTGGTGGTTAGTATTCCACAAAATTTCAAGATTCATTTCAGAAAAGCAAGAGAGTACAACATGCCCAGATTTAGTATAGACATATCCTTCACTCTTACATCAGAGGCTTTACCCTATTTTCTGTGCGTGAGTTGGGAAGTCCAAGTGGGACACAAATATAACTCCCTCGCTTTGACTGAGATCCATCATTTACCAGCAGAGCATCTGACGTGTGGAGTTTAGTCAATAAAACTTTAACAAGTTTCCTCTTGAGGCAGGGCATATATTTTGTGTTTGACACCCTCCCCCAAGTGAACTTCATTTTTAGTAGTAAATTCAAAAATATCTTTCTGATTCACAGTCTGTCAAGGAGAAAAATATCTGAGGCTGAGCTGTATTCTCTGGCTTTGATTGAGAAACTGTAAGAGCACTTGGGCAGTTAAATTTTTTTAACTGTGCATGAAAGGTGCTTGACATGTTCTGATGCCAGGAAAGTAGATTGTATACATAATGCATATCAATTCTTGTAGTGTTCATTGATTTGGAACAAATTTAATCTTCCAATGACCTTTCTTAAAGAGCAGTGTTTTTGCTGACATTGCTAAGTATGGAATCCCTCTAGAGTGAGTATGGGAAACTGTGCATACAGTAGCATCTTCACTATCTTTGCTGCTTGAAGTGCTGCTAATCCTACCTCTCTAGGCATGCAAAGGAAGCTAGAAAAGAAACTGGATTACCTATTAGTATGTCATGATGTCAGGATGTCCTTAGAGAAAGGAAAAATAGTAAAAAAGTTTGGATGAGGATTTAGAATAAATCAGATGCTCTAAAGAATGCATAAATATATTGGAATATTTTTCAGTATTTATAGTATCTTGAATGAACTGCCCAAAATGCCAGGTAAATAGAAATTAATATAGAGAATTGTAGTCACACTTCTGGAACTGGTGCTTTGGTATAAAAATAAAACCCAAAATTATCTATGGAAAGGATTTTGCCATATCAGTTTTATATTTTAAAGCTGTAGGAGAAAGATGTCATTGAACTGAAAGATTGTGGCTCAGCCCACATTTTGAAATAGCTGTTTTAATTTTTAATTGAAAATAAATTTTGTTTAACTAACAAAACATTATGTTTTGTCAAACAAAATACTACCAGAAAACTCCACAGAGGAGAAAAAAAATCCCTATGCTGGTTGCTATAGCAGCAAAATCAAAAGCAGCCATAACAGAATGATCTTTAACCTGAAGCAGAAATGCTTTTGCACCAAAGGAGCTATGTCTGTGCATATTATTTTGACTGGATTTCAAACCAGGATGAGAAATATCAGTTGAATCTTTTACTGATATAAAATAGATTTACTGTATCATTAAGCGTCTTATAATTGGTAAACCTTTTGAAAAAACACTTCAAAAGACTGTGGATCGTGGCAGTCCAGCAACTGTTGGACTATTGATCTCTCAACTCAGCACATTCCCCACATGTTCAACCATGTCTCATTGTAGTGTTGGATCCTGTCTGTGGCAGATTGCATTGTATAATTCAGTGAGAACCCTCCTTCCACTCCTGTCTTTGCTGCAGAACACTCCATGCTCACCCACATCTGCAAAGCTGCACTCAGCTTACATGTTTGGAAGCTCTCCTTCGCCCCAGGACATTGCTGCGATATAATTATATTGCTCATCATTAGTAAGAGGCACAACTTCAAAGTTAAAGTTTTGCTCAAGTGTTTGTCTGACCTGATACATAACTAAGCACAAGGCAGGCAAGTACTTCGTTAGGTTTGGATGCTTGTTGAAGTTGGAAATTATTTGAAGGAAAAAGGGTTAGATTCTTCTGAGTCTCCTACTGTCTGCAGTGGTTGGGGTTACATAGGAATTGTAATGTAAACACTTAAAGACATGCCATTTAACTATTAAATGCTATGAAGTTTTTGCAGTGATGACTAACATCAGATCACTTCTGAACACATTACTGACTTTAATTCAGCTGGGAAGTGGTAGCATTGAACATGATCAGATCAGATCTGGGTATATTACAGAGATATGGAAAGATAGTTCACTTGTGAGCAAATAAGGGTCAATAGCAGTTCCACAGGAAACTGCGTATATTAAATAACCTTTGTTACCTGCACCTTTACTGCAGGTAAACGTTTACCTTTACCTGCACCTGATAAATTACTGAAAATTTGTGTTGAATATTCGATAGATTTTGTTGAATACAGTAATGAAAATTAAGTCTTACTCTGTCTAGACAGTAATAACATTTTTATTATCTGTTTATTGTAGGTTGGAAATCTCCCAAATGATTATATGATAACCCTTAAATATGTCCCGAAGATGGATAGCCTGGTATGTATGACCATTTCAAATTAATCCAAATAAAATAGCCCACTGGAACCAGTGATGGCTGTAACATCTTGTACCTAGTCCTATGGCTTAGTAAGTTACAGTTAAATAATGGTTATTTCACTTTTCATATGATTCCCAAATATTTATTTAAAAGAAATGTAGAGAGATTCTCGCAGTCTCTTGACAGCAGTAGGGTTTCAAACATGCTTTGTATTATTCTTTCTGTATAATGTCATAGTTAATACATAGTAATACTTTCAAATAAGCATCATCTATATACTTTACAATTTTATTAAATTTTGTATTAAAAACTTTCATATTATCTTATTCCTTAATCAACAAATTTTTTGGGGTGGTTATTCCTCGGTTTAACAAAAGAAAGCATTTTAGAGTGGTGTGTTGAAAATGCTGTCTTGGTTGTTGCACACACTGCAAGAAAAAGAGGAGAAGGAAACAAGGTGAAAGTACAAATGATGATGAATGCTATATTGTTTTAAGAGAAGGAAAAAAGTAAGAAAAGGATGGGTTTGTCAGTTAAACTCAACAATATGGTGCCTGTCAAGAATGGAAATTATCTGCTAGATGTAAGAAGCTGTTTTTGTATCTGTACAAAGTTTTCACCATGAAAATCCAATTTGTGTGTGATACACATGTAAAAATGCATCCTATCCTACAACATTGTAGCAATATTCCCTACTGCTAGTGTAGAATGATGCCAGAAGCAACATTCTCTCAGTCCTGAATAATGAGAAGATGGTTGGAGGAAAAGGAGGCTGTGAAGGACCCTGAATAGTGAGGTTACAGAGAGTTATGTCAGGTCTAGAAGTGTTCTTAAGAGTTATGTTGGAAGCTTGAGGTTTTTACTAAAACTTAGGGTCCTTTTGAAAACCCAGTTTAAACTTGATTCATTAGACAGAAAAACGCTGCAGAATGAATGCTATGGTAATGTCAGGTACTAGATCCTATATAATATAAATAAAACTAATGGAAAAATTTCCATTTCTGATAATAGCCAATATTCAGAGGAGAAGGAAATAAGACTGGCTGCCACCATCTCCTGGCTGCTTTGTATTTTGAAATTCACTGATTTTGGTGCCTGATGTGATGAGATTCACATGTGTGGAGCACAACCATAGCCCGAGTGCTGTTCCCTCGTCTTCCAGGGTGAATGCAGTAGTTGTTGGGCTGAATTGAGACTGTTCCCTCTGCTGCACTCCTGGGGAGGTTGGCACTGAAGATGAAGAAGGCCAGGGAGCCTGCTTGAGTGATGAGTCCTGGTTGTTCTCACTGCCTGACTCTTGCCTTGCTCCGTGGTTCAGTTTTGACTGCCAGTATGCAGTTCCTTTTCTGTAGTTTAAATGCCATGTCATCTTGATGCGTCATAACCAGAAACTTAGATTCAGTTTACATTTATGACAAGCAGCCAAAAAATAAATAGGAAGAAGAAAAGTTCAAAGCTGAGATTTCTGTGTTCCCTTCACTGGTACACTACTTTCACTCATTGTAGTGGAAGGTGCAGCTCTTGGCCACATGCCTTTGCAGGAGGAAGTATTCAGTGGTATTCACATCCCACTTTGCCAAATTCCTCTCTGGGAATTTCAGGTTGTGTTATGCATACCACAGCAAAGGCTGGCTGAATAAGTAGGCTTTGCTCTGGCTTCTGCAAGGTCCCTGCAAGCTGGGAAACCCATGGCTTTGCCTAAAGTAAATGCCCTTTGTTCAGCTCTGAAGGGATTGAAATGGTGCTCTGCAGTTTTTTTCAGTAGACTTCAATCTTCAGTGCGTGCATAAAGTGGGAAGTGTACTCAAGGTAGCTAGTCTCAAATGTAGATGACTAAAGGTAGAAAGGCAGAATGAACGCAAAGCAGATGGCAAGCCAGTGTAGTGCATGTAACAGGAACAGACTGACCCCATCCATTAAACAGAAAGGTTGTTGCATTATGCACTAGCTCAAGGCAACTGAGTGGCTTTAAAAGTAGTCTTGAATAGAGTGAACTGTGCAGTCTAACCTGAAGGTTAAAAGGCAAAGATGATAGAAGCAGGGGCTGAACTCAGAAGAGAAGATAAATAAACTTTTAGATAGGTGTAGAAAGTAAAAGCTAAATGAGGGCTTTCTGGAAGTACAAGGGAAGTCAGGTTTGCAGTCACCCTAAAATTGCCCTTGGTCAAAGTTTACACAAAAAAAATCAGTTAAATCTCCATTTCTCCTAGAAAATAAGATCATGGTTTTCAGTTCAAGCAGTTTTGTCCCTGTGTTTGGTAAGTACTGAGATAGCAAGTGATTGCACAGCTTGATATTACTGAAAAGAAAACTTGGAGCTTTCGTGAAATACAGCTTTGTAGGTCAGAGCAGTTCAGTCAGAGGAGACTCCCACACACATGCTAAATCACAGGAGCAACAAAATAGAGTCCCTGCTGGAATTTCCAAATGTTCACTAGAAGCAGCAATCTTACACAAGTCCCTGCCAGTGGAGAATGCTCACCCACAAAGCCTCAGAGGAAAAGAGTTTCCAGGTTTCCAGTTCAGGGAAATGCAGAAGTCTGCCTGTGTTCCTACACCAAAGCAGAGCAAAGAAAATGCGTTGTCTGTCTTGCGGGGACAATGGGACTCGGCACAATATACGCTCCTTGAACAGAGTATGTTTCAACAAGCTTTCTCTGATTTATTTGCTTCTTCTTCTTCCTTCACCTCGTTGTGCTTGAAGGAAAAAAAGGGAAGCAGAATCAAGCTAAACATTATCCATTTTACTTTTTTTCATGCTTTTATAAGTCATTGTTGAGGTAATTACAGAAGGTGATATCACTGACTTACCACTTGATATCAGTGTGTGAGACAGTTGTACACAGAAATGGAAAGTGGACTGGACCATTAACAATGTATTTACACTTGGTTCTCTAAGCCTGGAAGCGTAATAGTCTGGTTAGTCTTCAAAAACGTGAAGTGTATTTTTTCTCATCAAAACCATTTACACATCAAAGGAGAACAACACCTGTGGATAATCTTATTTGAATAAAGAATCTGTATGCAGTTTTATTGAAGAAATTGAGTAAAATGAGATTGAGTCTAGAATCATAGAACCAACCAGGTTGGAAGAGACCTCAAAGATCATCAAGTCCAACCCTACCATTGTTACTAGACCATGGCACTAAGTGCCACATCCAGTCTCATCTTGAAAACCTCCAGGGACACTGAATCCACCACCTCCCTGGGCAGCCCATTCCAATGCCTGATTACTCTCTCTGTAAAAGACCTCTTCCTAATATCCAACCTAAACCTCCCCTGGCAGAGCTTGAGTACTTTGCCAAACATTTGCTGTGTGTTGCCTAAGGTGGAGTGCTGCCTATCCACTGGGCATCAACTGGAAACTGGTTTAGTGATACTAAGAGTACTTAGGGGTTGTTGGGCCAAGATCTTCATACCTGGAGGGCTTTAATGATCCTAAGACATTTTCAACAGCAGAAAAAATAACTTCACATATCAAATAAATTCCCATAGCATTTACCATTAAAAATTCAGCATTTATTGGGAAGGGATTTCCAGGTACAGGTTGCAGTGTGACTAACACATCACCTGTATTTTTGCTATTCATATTGAGTTGGGGTTCTTCCTTGGCTGGGCAACTTTTTTCTTTACTTGAGTACTGTTATGTAAATCTAAGTAAAAGAAGTTAATGGCTCTATCTCTGACAGCAAGAATAATTACCAGGTTTCAGTCACGTGAACAGCTGTACAAACTTTGTCTCCAAACTAACTGCATAGGTGTCAGTGAAAGAATCTGAACTCTATTCCAGTGACACAGATGTGGCAGATCTACAGGCTGCACAGAACACTTTTGTTGTCGAAAACGCAAGAAAAAAAAGGCTTTTAGATCTAGAAACTGTTCCCAGTAGTAGCATCTAGTGAAAAAGCTGAAGAGAAGGAGTTAAGTAAGCTAACTAGTTTAAAGGTGGATAAAAGCACACAAGGATTTCATGCAAAATGTTTATGGAAACCTTCTTGAGAAGAGATTCAAATCAAGGATCTTTGGGGTTAACTGAGTCATGTAAGGTCACAATAATAAAATGAAAACTGATAGTGGTTTAAAGAGTTGTTAAAGCAGTAGGTATTAAAAAAAAACCCCAAAACTAAAAAGATTAATGAAAGCATGGACTAGGGTTCATAGTAGCATGTCCCAACACTCAAACTCTCAACAGACTGATACTTGGCATTCATTAAGAATTTAATGACAGGATGGCATTTAACGGACAACTGTCAGTATCAGTGAGAACAGAAATTTTACCAAAAGGACTGAAGAGAAAGTTGGCCACACTAAAGAAGAAGAATATTTATGTAGACTTTCAAGATAATTTAAATTGGAAAGAACAGTTTAATATACTTTTGCACATTGAGCTGCTTAACCAGTTTTTACTAAAGTCTGATACTTAATCTACCTCTTTGTTTCTCTTTTTATCCCCTAACAGCCTAATCACTGTTGGTTGCATTTGATGGTGCCTGAATTTTCAAGGAGTCTGCATAATCTTCTCCAGAAATTTTCAGATATTTCAGATATGTCTGATGTTTTAAGCAACTATTCAATCATCAATAATCTCACAAGGATAATTAATGATCTTATGGCATGCCTCGCTTTTGATAAAAACAGGGTAATCTTATACAGAGTTTCTTTTTATGCTGGATATTTTTGGTTTTGCTTTCTATTGAGCAGTACTCAGTAATAGTTCTAAAAGGTCCAGAGTTTCATTAGATTTGTTTTCATTTCTATTCCTGTACATCTGAAATCCTACTTTGTAGTACTTGAGTACTACTACTACTCCTCCTTCTTGAGTACACTGTGCTAACATTGGCTAGTTGCTATCTCTTGTTTCAAAGAAAAATGGCTTGCATGGAATGAAAGTATATGCAATGACCTGTATACAGTTATTTAAATAGTCAAAAATGCAGCCATCATCTTTAAGATAATTAATTCATTCTGGTCTGTTTGAAACTAGCAGAAATCTTCTTTGTGCATCCAGCTTAAATTATTCATTTTGCTAGTGATTCTAATGTAAATATAAGGATCGTGTTGTTGAAGCTATTAATGTACTCTTAGTATGTATCACAGTATGAAGCTCTGAAAGCTTCACCATGGTTTAATGAATTTTTATATACAAATGCCCAGCTAAGGCCAGGGGATATCAATCCATTTCCAGGTGTTTCTGGATTCCTACAGCAGGTGGAAGGATTGCAGGAGTCTCACTCAAGAGATGTCTGATTCTCTTGTGTGAAAGTGATGGGGGGGATAGAGAAATTAATTTTCTAGTCCCTTATCCAGCTCTTACCAGGCTATCAGCAATTAAAAATAAAGTTCTGTAGTTGAGGGTTTTGTCCCACTGAATAAAACAGGCAAAATCCATTCTGTTCTTTAGAGCAAGGATTTAATCTTCCATATACATTTATTTTTGTTGACTAAGTCCTTAACTGTAGTAATTGCACATTTTCAACACCCAATATGAATCAACAACACCCAGTATGAATCAAATTAGCTGAAACACTCAGGTGCATTTCGAGTGGCATAACCTCCTAACCTTGTCATGTATTTGCCTTACATTGCGGAGAGTATGTAGACATTACCTACCTTTCCATTTCAAACTGAATTCTGTCCAAGGTTCAATGTATATATATTTTATTTTATTTTATTTTATATTTTTGTCCTGATGATTCAAAGCACTCAGCCAGGATATGGTTGGGGAAGAGGAATTCTATTTTGTAGAATGGAGAAGTAAATATCCTGAAATTCAGAGAAATTGCTAGGTATTGATTTCTTCAGAGAATAATGATCTCAAATCTCATACTTTCAGAGTTAAACACAAAAAAAACTTAGGAGCCAAACTGGGAAGATTTTCTACCTTTCCATGGTAAAAACCATGTTCTTACCACTGTCCTCCTTCTTGAGAGTATAGGGTACTGCCAGGCCAAATTTGACCTGCTGGCATAAGAAACAGCTGTTACGAAAGCCAGAATCAGGCAAAAAGAAAATAAAATTTAAAAAGTTAAACATCAGTCATCTTAACATGGATCTCAATCATGCTGTTTAGACTGTCATAACACAATTGTCTGATAGACCTCAAAGTAATTGGGCTTCCTTCTTTATAGTCCTTCTCTTATTTTTATGTACATCATCAGGGATCTCAGCCTGCTTCTGTGCAGGTGTATCCCAGCTATTGTATTCTGTTCCTTGTTCTCTTAATTGCAATACCAATGATTGTGTTGTGTTCGTGTATTCAGATTAAAAGGGTCATGTGGAACTTTGCAAAGTAATGTGAAGTCAATATAATGTTTTTAATGAGAGGAATTAAAAGACTCTTCATTTTCAACATGGAATGGGAGACTGTATTTCATCCCTTAGGAATTTTACAACACTATTAGTAATTTATTTCTATTTACAAAGTTAATCTGAAATCCTCAATCAGAAGGCCTGTATATTTTATGAAGATTGTATACAGCCAATCTGGTCTTCTTCAGGCTAAAAATTTAAACTATTTCGTGTCATCTTTGGATATTTTTATCTGTTGAAGCATTGAAATGAGCATCTCTCTGGACTTTCTTTCAAACTGAATTCTATATTTTACCCTAGGATTTTGTAAAAGAAAATGGTCACCTTTATGAAGAAGGTCACTTCATTCCTGAGGATTTTTTTAGGCACTTTAATAGTACCATCGAGGTCTATAAAGAGTTTGCAGAAACATTGGATAAGAATGACTGCATTCTGCCTTCTACAGTAGAAACACCAGAGAATGGTAAGATGGCTCTCCTTTTGGGGAACAAAATCTATGTAGATGTAAATTGATGATTTAACCTTGATTTCAGAGATGCTAAGGATCTGATATTGTACCTCCATGTCACCTTTTTACTGCCAGTTAAGTTACTACCGACACGGAAGGCTGTATTTCTCTTCAAATTTGAGTTCTATCTGACAGGAGAACTAGTGCCATCATTCCTAGAGCATTCATTCCTTAATATAATCCAAATAACCTTACAAGATGCTGCTCTATTTCTTTTCATCCCAAATATATTCTAGATTGCCTTTATTACATTGTTCTTCTCTTCTGTTAATGCTCTAGTTTATATAAGACAGTAAAGGAGCCTAAGATTACATGACTGAAAGGACTGGAAGCTGTAAATTGCAGCTGACTCAAGACAACCTTCATATTCATCCCACCCCTCCTGAAAAGGGTCATGTTTACTTCATTTAAAAATTTTAACAAGCTCAAGTCAGGCTCCGGCAGTTCTTTCTCATCTTTCCAGTAAATGGACATTTTGTATAATCTTTTGTTTTACTCTATCTAGTGACAGCTATTATTTAATTAGGTCAAAATATCCTGTTGCACAGTTACACCAATATTAACTAGATCAGTGCTATAACCTAAGAGCTTGTTTGCAGCAATTGCTTTTCCTGATTAGCTATTCAGCAGCATCTCAGTGTGTAGACACTTCTGTCTCTTAGTAAAACTCCCTTTTTTTATGGCTTCATCCATTTTATAAACAGCCCTATAGCCATTTTTTAAAAATAGCCCTATAACTACATCAGAGTAGCCCTATAGCCCATCGTCTTATATAGAGGGAACTGTATTTTAAGTTTCATAATGCTGACACACTCATTTTCTATTTAGATTCCAGGGTTGCTGTCACAAAAACATTTTTCTTTCCTCCTGTTGCTGCCAGCTCCCTTAGGAATGACAGCATTGGCAGCAACACTAGCAGTAACAGTAAGTACAAGTGATTGAATTAATATATGTGTCTCCATTTTGTTCTGGTAGCTGGTTGTTATGAGAGCTCAGAGGAAAGGAATGTCATTAATTGTGCAAATTAATGGGAAGTTACTTGTTCCTGATGGTGTACCATGTGTTTCTCAGCTGTCATACTGAAATGCGATGAACTTATCTAATCAAAATTTAGAGATGCTATCAAGTTACAATGATGTGACAGCTCTCTACAACTTGGAGAGGGCAGGCTTCTTCATTTTGGCTGTCATGAGGTCTCACTAATCATATGGTCTCAGCAAATTTGGCTGTCCTGACATCTCATTTTAACTCTCAGAAAAGGAAGTTGTTCCAAATGAACAGAATAGCTATCCTAAAATGAGGGTACTCATGTGGACAAAGAGGTTGCCTGTACATTGCATTTTGAGAGTAGTGTCAATCCCAAGCTTTACACCAGTTCTGAAGACAGTCCCCATGTTTGCTTAGTATAGTCACAGTAGGGCCACCTGCACAGTCAGCACACTTTTGGTTGGGGTCAGTGACAAAGGCACTGCAACTTTGGCAGGCTGTAATCTTCTCTCTGGCATGGTCATCTCCATATTTCTCATCTATCTTCATTGGTGCATTACATGACTGATAAGAGAGCCCAGAATAGTTGCTGTGAGAGCCTCAGCATTACCCATCACAGGATTAGAAGGGGTATAGGAATCTGAGGTGGAGAGAAACAATGAAGTTTCAGGGGCTTTTAGTGACATGGTGTGCAACAAGGTGAATACTCTGGAGCTTTCCATGTGAACAAAGAAGGGGATTTTCCTTAGAGGTTCCTGAAATTGTGATCAAAGCTTAACCATGTTGTTGTTTCCTTGTTCCTGTTTCTTGAACCCATCAGGATGGCAATGTATATCTATGTCTTTACAATTTCCCCTTTTCATGCCTGAGTTTCTTCTCATGCTCCTTCTCTTGGAAATGTGTAATCTAGTTACTCTCTAGGTTTTTAGCAGTTTGTATCCTACCTCTTAGTTTGGTCACAGCTGCTATGAGATTTGAATCCCTTCCTGGTTTCTTTCTAATTAAGAGAAGGTCTTAAGTCATCATATCCCAGAACCCTCAGAGTAGAAGGCTGGAACAAAAAACCACCTTCTACTCCTGGCTGTCAGCCTGCCTCTCTGGAAAAGAGAAGCCTCACTGCCATAGATTCCTTGCCAAGAGGTCACAGAGCTGGCTGCAAATATCCTGATGAGCCCAGGGCCAACTATGAGGCACCAGGAGGGGATTAAAGAATGCATACCTGTCTCTCTCAGGTCTGAACATGTGATAATTTTTGCTGTCACTGCTGGAGGAAAAACATTCACCTGCAGCCTGAAGCAATGGGAATGAATCAAGGAGCCAAAAGACAGACAGATAGATTACAGGAGCAGTTCAGATGAAAGGAGTTTGACATTAACAGGAGAGATGCTGGGCAGTGCAGTGGAGTATGTATGGCACCTGTGTCTGTGTTGTGGAGGAGGGTACAGAAGAAGGATTATTAATCTTGTTTTATAATTGGAACCGATAATCAAGTAGGAAAAAAGCCTAATTAAAATAATGCAGTAAGTTAAAGAAATTGCTTGGCTGCCATATGCTGTACAGGTGTGTTTTAACTGATTATCATTCTCTTAAGCAATTTATTGGAAAATTGGATATCAGTTAACAGCCTTATGTAGAAATGACATGAGGACTGCATGTCTGGGGCTGGGGACAGTTTGAACTCATAATCAGATTAATTTACATTAACTTGGATACTGACTGGTTACACTCTAGTTATTTGTGTGGAGTTTTTTGCAGAGAGGGGCCTCTGGAATCCTTACTGCCATCTCTGGTTTACTTCCTGAAATGGCCTTCAGTATTGATTTTAATTTTGTCTTGGATTTATTACTGAGGAAGTTTTGCTTTTACTTAATTCCTAACTTCTTGGAAGAAATGACAATGGATAAACCTTACTACTTCCTATGTGAAGACTCCCCAGCACAGGATCCCCTGGCTTCAGTCCTGCTCTCAGAACAGCACGACTAGATTCAAATTTTTAAAAAAAAAAAACCTTTGGAGAAGAGAAGGAACCTGAAAAAAAGCATCTTCAAACACAGAATACTGATTTTTTTTTAAAAAAATTACCCTCTTTAATTTTAAACAGTTCTAAATTGAGCTAATTAAAATTAATATTTCTAGAGCATTTAGAGGCATTCAGTGTTTGCAAAAGGAGATTAATAATAAATTTTGAATCTATTAATAGAGTCTGTGTAGTCAGATGGCTTGACCTGCTCCTAATTCTAAATTCAGCTTAGACAAAGCTGAAGTTCATAATCTAATAAAATCATTTGTAAAATAATTATCATAGAAATTGTTTATGAACAGTTAAATTATGGTTTTTTCATGTTACATTTGTTGAAAGAGTCATGTTTTGTGACTCCATTGTTCTTACACAACAATAAAATTAAACTATGATAATAGAGTTGTATCATAACTAAATCTATAACAAAAATCTTAGCCCAACTAAGTGTAAAATAGAAAATTATGCTATTATTTTTTTCCAAAATGGCGATAATGCTGTTTTCATTCTTGTAATATTAAATATAGATCTGTGGCATATTCCCACTCCATCTTTTCCCCCTTAGAATTCTGAAAACATCACCACCAGCACCCTCAATTTATTTAGTCTGGTTTGTTTTTTTCTCTGTTACATGACTGTAGTCCAATTTAAATTCCAATTAACTGTATAAGTACCAGTCTTACTGGTATTTCTCTGGATCATTATACCATGCCTAGTCTAGAGAATTCAGATGAGATGGTTCATGTGTAAAGAACAAGTGTCAGGACAAGTCTTGAGTCCTGATCTCTTCTTTCAGCGTTTTAACCAAACAGTAAATAAAGCTTGGTGGTATTTTCCCTATTGGATGAATCTCATATTACTCTGATTAAAGCTTGAACTTACTAGCTGTTGCTAACACTTTTTTCCTCAATTTAATGCTAAGATGTTCTTTATTTTTTCATGGAAAGTTCAGCATTGCCTTCTTCCATTTTTTTGCCTGCAATTTCCTCACAATAATTTAGCTTTATTATGCAGTACTGAGCAGCTCAAAGAACATATAAACACAGAGATCTCTGTAACTGTTTCTAGGAAAGTCTCCTTTTTTAATTAAGCAAAGAATACTGTAGTTTAATTCAGTAATTGCACAACAATTTGAAAATGTTCACCCATGGCTTAATGCAATTGGTGTTGCGCTCTGTGCCTTTCTTCCTTTGTTCCAACTTCATAGTTAATAGAAAACCCTAATGAACAGGTGAGAGCTGCTCTGCATTTTTACAGATAAGATCTTGTGGTAATTGTGTTGGAGCTGAGCACAAGTAAACTGAAAATTCCTTTGAGATATATATGGCAAAAGAAAATCGAGCCAGTGCTTTGAGTCATAATCACACATGGCTGAAGGTGGGAATGCAGCTCAATAACTTCACTGTGTAGCTGAGTGGCTTTTAAATGCAAATATATTTTGTTCACAGCTTAACATCCCAATGTCCATGAAGACTATACATAAATCAGCATCAAATGAGCTCACTTCCTTAGTGAATCTTCCACAAGTTGCAGAGTGAGAGGTGCTGGCCTGCATCCACTCCCCTTTTGCAGTTTACGGGATAGAGTCTATTTAAAGTGAATAATATATTAACTGCAAAGCTAGCAGTTCCTCTGGCATTGCCCAAAGTGTTCATAAAGTTACTGGTACATCGGGTTCCTCCTCCTTCTCTACCTTTACAACTGCTGCGAATTTCTATGTAGAGCTCTGAAATTTCTTTGTAAAAAATACTGTTAAAAACAAGGGTGCAGGACTGTTGCTGATCACTCTGCATACAGAACATTTCTTTAGAAGTTAATGTAAAAATCATCATTCTTGCCATGACATGCTGCCCAGCATTAGGTAGGCAGAGGGTTTTTGAGGTTATACACTATACCGTAACATGTTATCAAATAATTTATGCTCTACGTGACCTGAAAAGTCTTTCCTTTGATTTTTATTTCACGTTTTAATTTGTTTCTGATGTTTGCAGAGTGGAATCCAGAAATCATGACCATCCCCATAGGGTTTACATAATTTAGTTGTATAACTCAGGAGTCGTTCACTGGGAAGAATGGCATTAGGCAAATGAGGGTTGCATTTTTCTTGACTAGAGCACAAGAGCAATATAGGAATTTTCTTCTGAGAATGCAATTCAGATAAAGTAACGACAGGAATTCTTTTTTGAGTTGCTCAGGCTGGCTGTGCCCCACCTGGGTTTGCCCAGATTTCTTGAAGACGAGTTCTGCAGGCAAATGTTCTCTGTGCCTATTCTGTGACAGAAAATTAGAAAAGATATGTCCCCCCAGTTAATTTCTGCTCTTGGCTGTAATGTCTGAGCAGACAGAGGCAGACTAATCGATAGCCTCTCTTTTTCAGCTGATGCTCACCTCTATAGAACTTTGTCTGCTATCTTTCCCTTCTCCTCTGTAGACAGATTTCTTTCACGGTAAGCTAGCATTGGTTCTGCTTGACTGATGTTTCCTTTTAGTGTGTTGAGTCTGCCAGATGTAAGTAAAATTCAAGTCCCTACAGTCAGAATCTAGAGTTTGTAAACCGTGTATGAGATACAGAGATATATGTAGTATATGAATACATAAGATAAAAACTTTATGCTGCCTTACTTTTTAGTTATGTCTACCCTGAACCTAGAAAATTTCAGAGATAAAAGGAATATTTGTCTAAAACTTGCAAAGTGTCAACCAGAAAATTTCAGGGAGTTGAAAATGAGTTGCTAGTTAACTGTGACAATACTGCTTTCTAAACTAAAGTATTTGCTTGGAGTCTGTTTAATAATGTACTAAACACACATTGCTTGACCCAGTACATCATACTGTATGTGCTTAGACATTTGCTGTTTGCATGAGTCACACAATTTCTAGTGCTGTCAGTTCATTTTCATTTCTGTATCCAATCACCTATGCTTTTTCAGTGCTTACACTTTGGTTCCTTTCCTGTAATCTGACAATACATCCACCATTCAAACTGCAGACAGTCAATCTTGAAATGAACCAAAACTGGGTGGATGATATCTAAACTAGCAGGCTCCTGTGGCTTGCTTTGCATTTCAGAAGGAGGATCCCCAGGTGACTCTGTAGGACTTTTCACATCCTGCTCTTGATGAAATAACTGAAGGGCCAATTTTTAGTCTCAGCATGCATGAAGCTCCCTGTAATGGGAATAGAATTGTTTGCGTATGTAAAAGACTAGGATTGGTGCGCGTCTGTATAAATGTTAAAAGCTATCAGGAAACTGTTACAACCAAATAACAGAAGCTAGACCTCCAGGTACAAGGGTTTGATCTTGCTGAAGTCAGCAGGAGCTTTCCAGGAAGATATTAGAAGTAGTCAGGCTTATTTTGTTAATTAACCTCTCGAGAGATTTCATGTTGGTCATTGATTAGTGGCAAGGCAAAGTGTCTGTCTACAGTCGGTGGGAGGTGTCTGATGGAACTTAGACAAATTCATGGATTGGTAATATATTCTTTTCCAGATAATTACTTTGTGTTACAAAATAAGACCTTCAAAAATTAATAAATCCAAACTTTGAAGTGTGGGCAAGAAATCATTCTCAACAAATGACAAAAAGAGAATTAGTGTTGGTATTTTTCAACATAGCTGTTTCAGAAATGGGAGGAACATCCTTGTGGTCAAAAATTTCCTGTAAGACTTTGTATGAAGTGCACCTCATGTACATAGCACTTTGAAGTATCTGTTCTGCTATTTAAGATGCTATTATGTAGGTGGTGCATGAAAGTGCTCTTGCTAATAGTGTTGCCCTGAAGATAGTTTTCTGCTATAAATCTGTCTTCACTAACGAGAGCATCTGTAATTACAGAAGAAGCACTTGGCTTCATTAGCAGCTCCAGCCTGCAAGGGATCAGCATAGCGCTGACATCATTGCTGTCTCTTCTTATTGGCTTTATTTTGGGAGCCATATACTGGAAGGTAAGAAATATTACATTTAATTGTTTACATAGTGATACTACATTTCTTAGCTATGGGGAGGTGGGAAGAACAGAACCATTCTGCATTTGAAAATGAGAGATCTCTCTTTTGATCTTCACTGAACTGTGAAATGCAGATGTAAATCTGTGTGTCACATTCTTGAATTTCACCACCAAAATGCAAATCCTGTCTTATCAGCATGATTGCTGTCTAATTGGAAACAAAAAATGTGGGATTCACCCAATTTTCCATGCCTCGTATCGTATCTTGAGAAGAGGATTTGTTTTGCTTTTCCCCCTTATACCCCTGCCTACAATACAAAGGCTTTGATAGTAAAATTTTATCAGTAGCAGATGTATGTTAGAGGACAAGATTTGGCCTACATTTTCCAAGATGCCTTTGATATTGAAAATCTGAAGCAAATTGAAGCATACAACAATTGTTTAGGGAGTTACTAAAGAAAGCTTTAGAATATTTATATTTAATGCATTTTATTCCTAGAAAATACATCCCAAATCCAGACCAGAAAGCGATGAAACTACACAGTGTCATGACTGTCAAGAGGAAAATGAGATAAGGTATATTGTTTCATTTTATATGTGTATTTACAAATGTAATTTTATCTCTGAGAGCTACTTCCTTATTCTCTCTAGCTCTATGGCAAACACACAAAAAGTCCAAACACAGGGTCTTGCTGCAAAGGTAAAATATGTGCTTAGGGTGTGCCCTGTAAAGGATCTTCTAGTTTAAATATAAAAATTGATATGGAAGATATTTCTGCTTACAAAATTTTATTAAGGGGACATTACCTTTTCTTTGTCTGTCCTTACTCCCACTGTGGGAAAGGATTGCAGAGACCTATAGGGGAAGTAACAAAATAAAGTACATGTTGTTTGCTTTGTGGTGTAAAAGTAGATCAATATTATGTAAATAAATGGAAAGAAATGTCTTCCTGATTGTGCTCCTAAATCCTTCTAAATACTTCTGAGATTAATATTTTTTATGTTCTTTCACTTTTATACATTACCCAGGACATCTGTGTTTTCTGGGGTCTCTTTTTAATGTCTATAGAGAGTTAATGAGAACTCATTCAAATCCTAATAACTACTGAAATGATTCATGACTGTTCATACTTAAACATTGCTTTATCTGATTTTTAAACAGAAAAATATCTGTGTAACTGAGCTGATCAAATACACCTTAGAAATAATAGTTAAAGTCTTTCAAGTTCCTTGGACATGGCTTGGGCAAAGAATTCTCTGAAATCCAGAAAAGGACTTAAGGATATTTTTAATTGGGATAGTTCATGCTAAAGCATTTTGAGAGTATTGTTTAACCTCATATACCATGATGTTTTGTCAGATTTTAACTATGAGGAATTCAGGGAAAGATCAGATGCAGATGGCAGAAGGATACATCCTGTAGTCTTCTCACCCTATGTGAAATGCCTGGTGCTTCCCGCTGTTGAAGGCAGAAATAGGCAAGGTTCTGTTCCAGCAGTTTGGTCACAGGAGCTGAATTTTTCAGTGTTTAAGCTTGCTAGAATAATAAATTCTTAAAACAAATTTTCTTCATGTACTGTACATAGAATGGAAGACTGTGTATTTGCCAGGAGCATTGGTTGCCACAGATAACTCATTCTGCACCTCATCCTCACAGATATTAAGACCTGTGAACTGGAACATACATCTCCCTTTTAACTTCACAGGAAATAGAAAACATTGCTTTATATGAAGAGAAGAGCAAACAGTTAGTTAAATGCAGGAGATGGCCTTAGCAGGAAATTCAAACAGGTTGCATTCTCCATCAAATGTCTTCTTAATTATATGGTGTATGTTTTGGCATATATGGCATAGATGAACATTCATCTGTAACTAGGAAGAATTAACAGCAAACAAATTGCAATACTTTGAGTTCCCTGTTATTGTAACTAACTTACAAACCCTTTTGTTTTATTTCCTTGAAAGACTTGTATTGTAGCATTAAAGTACGTTTTTTTTTCCAGTATGTTGCAGCAAAAAGAAAAGGAACATCTACAAGTGTAGCTGTTGCTTTTTCTCCCTCAACACTGTTACTGTTTCATGTACTGGTAAGTTGTTATGGTGAGAGTCTTACCATAGACTTAATTACCCAGCTGCTGTAATATTAAGTGATTTAAAGTCCATTTTTGGAAAAAAAAATAAAGCTTGCTATCAGTGGGCTTCATTTGTACATAGGATCTTTAGCAGCTAATTTAATTAATCCTGTATCATTCATTTAAACATTTGACTTTTAATTTGAATGCTTCAAAATTAAATGTGCAGGAATTTCAGAATGAAGGACAGCTACTACTTCTCCTTTTTAGCATGAGAGCTGATATGGAGAAGCTGTCAGCTCTTGTCCTATTGCTGTTTCAAAGCAATGTGAACTAAAAAGAACAATCTACTAAAAGTAGAACGTGAGTGTAGGAGAACAGGCCAAGTAGAGCTGAGCTTTTATTGATTGTTGCTCACTCAGCACATTTTACATTCCCTGTAGCCTTATCAGGTATATCATTCTTTCTTTAATATGTAGGAGTGAACAGCAAAGGCGAGTGAGCTTTCTTGGTGCCAGATGTCCTCTTCAGAATGGTGCACTTCTCTGGCAAGGGGCTTCTTACCACAGGAACTGTGCTGTACTTAGCCCATGGCATCCATGTAAGGGTGTGGAAAATTCAGGCAGTGCTGAATGCTTCATTTTATATCATGAGTGGAAAGAGCTGCTTAAGAGTATAACAGGCAATCCAGGTTTTTGCAGTTTATCATGTAGCAGTTACTCTCAGATGTATTCCAGTGTTTGATGTGAATGAGTTAGCTACAGCTTGGGATATTTTCAGTCTCCTTAACTGCATTGTTCTAACATCTACTTACTGAGAAGGAAAATTGCCACTGCATTGAACAAGTCATTCAGTTTTTCCAAAGATGCAAAGTCCACTTGGTATTGGCTAATCCAGGTGCCTTCAAATGGAAGTTTGCTGCCAGAGATGTCCAATACCAAAATGCACAAACATAACTGTTCTGTAAAACCATGAGACTTGTTTCATCACCTTCGATGATATCAATGGGCTTTTGTAGGCAAGTATGGACCAGGAAAGTGCATCTTATGACATATTTTTTCTTTCTGAGTAAAGGAATGTCTATGGAAGTGTCGTTAAATTTATCTATTTCCAAAGTTATAAGAAAAATAAAGTCTATGTTATATGTCTATGAAACACTATAACTTTTAGTAATACAGAGAGGAAAACTAATCAGCAAAATCAGAATTTTTGTTTTTGTCTTCAAGCAGGTAACAGTTCCATGTTCGCTTCATAAATGAAGCAGCTTTAAGCACATTCGTATTCCTTCTGGAGTGACAGACTGAGTCTGCATCTGTTGTTGCTGCCCATGACTCCATAGACGTGATACAGAAATGAGGACAATTTGTGTTTGTTACTGTGAAAGCAACACTGAATTGAACAACGACAAGAAGAGTGTGCACTTAGCAGGACTGTATCTTCTGTGAATATCTACCTTGTGTGACATTTGAGGATTTTTAATTGCATTAATACTTGCAACTCACTCTGGCAAGCAAAGTACGTCCTGAACAAAAAACATCTTTCAAATGCCTCCAACTATGTGTAATCATTACAAGTCATAAATACTTTTGCATCCTTAATTTAAACTCTGTGTCCTCTACCTTACCTTGATGTCTTCAGATGGAGATCTCTGAACTGACAGAAAGTGCAGAAATGGATACAGATAACATACTCTTCAATATTGTATATAAAACTTGAAAGCAAAGTCATGCCATGAACTCGTGTTCTAGACTTTGACTTATAAGGAGCTGTGTTTATGCCTGGCAAAGGCCATGTGTACAGCAACATGTGGTCTCTGTTGGGTGCCAGGTGGCTGATTGCCCACCCCAGAAAGCCTCAAGAATTCATCAGTGTTGGTGGTCTCTTCAGGAGAAGCAAATACTGGATGAAGACAAAGTAAACAGGAGGTGAACGTACCTCATGGAGCTTTGAAGCATTAAGAGTAACTGCTGGGTATGTGAACACTGGTGAAATTTCCAGCCATGCTGAGGGAAAGTAAAGAGTCTGAATAGCGTTCAAACATCAGAATAAAGACAAACCCATGAAATGCATTTTAAATGCTGAAGATGCATGCCATTGATACCTTGTCTTTAAATGTATAGCATAGAAAAGCTGAAAGATCCTGAAAGTGTATTTAGCTTTTTCTTACATCAGCTGTAATTAATGATTGCATTGTGTTTTAAGTGATTAGTAAGCTTTAATATCCTGGCATTCTCCACTCTTGAAGGTTAATTCTTTTGAAACAAAAGAGGCTTTGTTTTTCACTTGTCTTCTGCATCTATTGCTGTTACAGCATCCATGGAATGTGTACAGAACTGATGTACAGATGTGCATTTTTAAGTAAATCCTAAAAATACCATGGTAAAAGCTACAAGTGTAGTTGTGCATCTTTTCATCTTGGCTCTTTCCAGTTAATGGGTATGAATTACTTATCTGTATTAGGGGTTTGTACTTCAGAAGGGTATAGGTGGCTCACTTCAGATGACAAACTGTCATCTGTCATCAAACTAACCAGGTCAGGAAGGGTTTTAGTTTAAGTAACTTGAAAACTTAAAAAAAATAAAATCCTTTTTAATGTTTTGCATAAAGTTGGAGTTCTCTTTAAAATGTATAGTTACTAAATTTTTAAGAGTTCTTGTTGAAATTTTAATCTTCTGCTGACTTTTCCGAGACCCATGCGTAAAAAGAATATGTCATACATATAATATATACGTTTGTGTGTGTGCATGTGTGTGTGTGTATTATTGGTAAAACTGTCTTTCATACTTACTAAAAAGATAAAATCCTCAGAACCTTACCATGTTCGATGACAGAGCTTATGTGTGCATGTAGCCACTCTGTGTGGAATTTTAACCCTATTGAGATCAATGTTTAAACTTCTCATTAATTCACTGATGCAAGAATTTGGTCACATGGAATTTTTATTTATATTGAGGCCTTTTTTGCACTTCCTGGGTGTCCCAAAAGGGTCCTCAAGTCATACTCAGCTGGTATAAATTAGCTTAGTTCCATTAAGGGTAACAGAACTTTAAGGTTTGCATCATTTGAGGAACTTCTCATAGACTAGATCAAAAGAAACTTAGTGTGAGAATTAGGCCTTCATGTTTCATCAGAAGATGCTGGAGGAGTCTACAATTTATAATGAGGGTTATTCATCACTTCTAAAAAGCAAATGCATTCCTCAAACAACAGAATTCCAGATCTGAAGCTCAGTCTCCTTTGACATTGTGTAGTTCCTTACTTACAAGGTCCTAACACTTTGAGTTTCAAACTTACTTAAGAGTTACACTAAAAGAAATGTCAGCATGACCTAACTGATGGTAAATTTGCACTTTATTGTTAATGCAGAGAATAATTGTGTATTGATTTTGACTGAATGGAAAAGTATCCACAGTAAATGGAAGCAATTATCCTTAGACATTGTATAAAAACCTTAAATGCTTCATGTTGTTATATTGTGTGCTTTTAAAGCTAGCTTATGCATTTGAAGGTTTTAAATATTTTTCTTAGATTCAGTCAAACAAAAATATTGTATTTATTAATGTTCTTTGTTCATAAGAATGTTCATTTTCCTAAATGCATTCTTTCCAGAAAATCAAATACACAATAATGTTGCACATTGATGTGTCCCAAATTCTACTTTGATATTCAAAACGTGCGATGTTTTCAGCTTAGTCTACTGTTCAATAGTATAGAAGATAACAGTTGTGAATTGGAACATACATTAAACCCATATTGAGTGCGGCAAAATGTTCACCTTCCAAGAGCATCATCTTGAAGCAGTAGCTTAGTCACTTTCACACGATGTCAGGCACTTTTATCCCTTCTGTGGAGCAAGCCAAATTTAAGGGTATATGAGAACAGAAAAAAATTTCATGTATAAACTGTCCACCTTCACATCACAAACACTATTCTTTGAATGTGCACCGAAGTTGTATGACACATGGAGTAGCAGAACTGTTGTTGGAACTCATGACTTTCCCATTCTCTGCACCCCCTTTTGAAATATCTGAACACAACATCAGGTATTAATAATCCTTTTGCAAAGCAGGACACTTCTCGACATTGTTAGATACAGTAGACGGCATGACACTTGGAAATGGGAGCGTGAAATTATTGGAAAGTTTCTGTGGCCACTGAGAGCTTTACTTAGAGACACAGAGAGATTTTGAAAGATTACTGACTTGTGAGACATCTTTGAAATCAATGAAAATAGAGTAAGTTACTGCTCAGTGGGAGTAGAGATAGCAGAAACAGACATTTAATTGCTCCCGTGTTCCATTGTAAGCTATTTAACTTATGGGGAGTGATCAGGTTTTCGGTCTCTTTTTTGGGTAGATGGAACCCATGCATTTACACAGCTAGAAAATTAACACCTTCCCCTTCAAATGAAATTGGGGAAAGTCAAACAAATTATTTTTTTTACATCTGTGATTTGGTGAGAAACTGTCTTTTAAGTTTCCTTTGAAGTAGTTGAACTTTGCATGCAATTAATAGTGGCCTTGTGAGAACAAAAAAACCAGATAGTGATATACTAAGTAACTCTGTTCTGCTTTAGATGTGTTTACTTGAATGAATTAATGGTACTTATTTCATCACAAGGTCATTTTATAAGCAAGCTTATAAGCAGGCTTATAAAATGTGCTATACTATGGAGTATGTGTACAACCTGCACATTTTTTAGATTCTCATCTTCACCAGCTCTGTTTTCTCTGTTGCTCGCTCTCCCTTTGTAATATGCTGAAACTGTTCAGTACACACAACCCAACTATTAAATTGAAAAGCTAACTGTATATATAAAATACTGATATTTTGAGTTAGATTTGCATTTAAGAATTATCCAACATTCTTCAATTCAGGAATCCGATTCAAATGTCTGAAATACAGATCTACAGTAATGATGGCATGTTACTATTATGTTATCAAACTCATGGAACGCGGAAACTTCAGACT